TAGCAGTGGAAGAGGAATACATGACCGAATGCTACCATATGCTCTGACACAGCCAAGAGGCTGCCGCAGAATCCACCAATGAAGGGATTAACTACAGACTGCAATCCTGACCTGTCTTAGTCCTGGTCTTCTTCCCATTACAAATAACCCCTCAGGATACTGAAACTTCACAGGATTAGAGAGTATTTTATTGCTTTCCATTTGTTTCCTGCTTGCTTACTTTATGCTTCTGACAACACTTTACAGTGAGCTTCACTGTTTCCTGGATCATGCAAACCCCATTCCCAGGTCCTACAGGAAAGCATCTGTTGGGGAAAAGAGAAACACGGAAGAGACAAAACTCAAGCAATCACATGGGGACACCTGGACAGAAACGTGAAGTGGGGGAAGCCTCATCTCCAAACACATTTGCCGTTGCTCATGGGCCTGCCCAAGAGATCCTTCTACAGAGAAGGAAAAAAAATTAAAAACTTTTTCCTTTAAAGTTCTTTTGATATTCCGCTTATTCTGCAGTACAGAGAGCCCCAACCTTCTGCAGCAGCAGCCAGGAGGATCTATGATAGCAGGGAAGGCCTATAAAATATGTGGCTGAAGTGAACAGGGTCTAAAACAAGGCCCTATAAGGGCTCCTAACAGCTGACAGAAGAACGTGTTCCTGAATAGGAGCCCCTGTCTCACACCAGTCCCCCCCTTTATTCATGTCAGTCTGGGGCTAGCAAGTTTAATTTGCTAAACACTGGCACAGTTTCATGCTTTTTGTGACTTTGAGATGATGATTTGATATACATGAGAGTGCCCAGGAAAAGAGACTGACGGAGGAAAATGGGGGAGAGAAAGATTTTCAAGTAAGGAGGAAAAAAAAGAAGAGAAAATGTAGAGGTGGAGATAATGTAGGGAATGCGAGAGAAAGAGGATTGAAGCTACAAGAAATGAAAAGGAAAACAGGTACTTAAAACAACAGAGGCACAGATTCTACATGATCAATTGCAGGGGGACAAAAAACACAGTGTTATTTTTGCCAAATCTCACAATTTTATTGCAAGTCTCATAATACTTGCTGTTGTTCTTAAGGCTCCCGCTCCCGGAGACACGATTATGTAAAACATCTCAGCTCTCATTTTAAAAAAACAAGAAGAAAAAAATAACTTTATATTTCTGGCTCTTATGGATGTGGAAAAGTTGTAATACCTTAATCACCGAAATCTCAAAGAGCCAAAAGACAGGCAAATTGAGAAGATTTTTTTTCCTTTTTAAATCTCATGATCTGTAAGCAAATCACATAGTTTTAATGCAGTACTGTGGACTGATGCACAGAAAGGAACAAAGACATAAAAGAGCAAAGCAAGTTACAATTTTAAAATAGATTAAGTACAAAGGGGAATGACAATTTGTCCTGATTAAATATGGTACACACAGTAAAGAGCATACAATTGTTATATTCATTAAAATTTCCAGGGGGTGGCAGTGCAGATATTTTTCACTTCAGCTAGTAGGTTGGTTACATTTCACCAGATCTAATTAAAGTCACTTTTCCAGCAGCAGCAGCAAAGCATTCGTTCTGATTAACGACACTTGGGCACTACGAATCTCAGCAGCCTCTCAAGGAGAGATGGAAGGGGGAGCAGGATGGGGGAGGGAAGAGTAAATGAAACTTTAGAAACTACCAATCTCAAAAGAATCCTTTAAAACTTAAAACACTTAATTACATAAATGTTACAGATGGAAAGGCTTAATAAGTGTTTTCCAGGCCATTCTCTCTTGCCTGCACAACATTGTTCCCTACAGTATATTTTCCTGTGCTCTGTCCAACATAATCACTTCTCCATACATTGTACAATAGAACTTGACAGAAGAATTCAGTTACCTTTTGCAATTTTGTCAGAATTCAAAAACAACTTCAAATTAATTTTGACTAGTTATTACCTTGCAAGTAATTACATGGGACCACCTGCATCAAAGATATTAATTGTTAAAGTGTGAACTATACCATATGCAAAATGCCCATATTTTACAGTAAGCAGAAAGCATTACTCCAGAATATGAAATGATTCAGAGAAAAAGGGTTTGAGTGATTGCCCCTCTGTCTGCCTTAGTCTCCCTTCCTATTCTTTGTCCAGCTTACATATTTTAGATATCTTAGATCAGACACTCTTTGGGACAAGGACGACTCTTGCTACGTGCATCTTACATGCCTAAAACAACGGGGTTATGATCTCATGGACTCTGCTCGTCTTTGGACAGGGCTGGGGAGGTTATAATGCTGAAGAGTATTCTCTTCTCCAAGAGGGCAGCTGCATATGTAGGTAGTTACATCCCTTTTGTATGACAGACAAGGACGGATTACTCAAGATGACCCATAATTCCTCTTAAGATCAGTGGATCAAGGAATATGCTATCCAATGGCACATATCCCTATCCTGTCCATAATCTTTTTTGCATATTACAGTACTTTGGTACTCTGCTCTACAACATACAGGGAAAAGGTCCAGAATGCAGCAGAAACTGCTTGCAATAGTTTTGCTCAGGCATCAGAGGTTGGGGAAAGGAGACAGGTTCTCATAGAAACCTCATATTTGTGGAGACAAAAGGAGAAAATAACCACAAAGACTCCTTCATGTCTCATGGAAAGCCTTGAAAAGCAAAGCGTTTAGAAGAGATACTTCTACTTACACTTTTGTATATTGTATATTTCTCTTGCATGAAAGAGAAAAGATGAAATCAGAACCCTAGTTCATCAACAGTCCTTACTTATCCAAGAGAAAGGTGACTTTTGATGAAGTATGTCACAACTAGTACCACATCCACTATCATGAAAAAAATATTCTTGACCAAGTTTTTTCTGGTGCAACTCACCTGAAGTCAACTATGCTTTAAGGTTTCAGGTAGAAAGTACACAGCTACAGCATATGTACTCTGTAAAACATAATGTGATTTAATACAAAGGCTCCCAGGAAGGAAAAAAAGAAATAAAAATAAAATGTGTGGCATAAGCAAATCTGTTTTCCAAAATTTTCCACTAAGGCACTGGCAACATTTTAACACAAGCGGAAAAAGAAACAGCCATGCCACTATATCACCTATTTAAAAGACCAGACAACAACAAGAGAGAAAAATCCAGCTCCAAAAGTAACAGTGCTTAAAAGTCATTTGGCTATGTTTGCATCTTACTGAGAGCACATTAAGCTTAAAACCAGTGATTAAAATATAAGTCAGCTTAAAATTATTTTTAAAAACAGTCTAGGATTTAGACCACTATAGGGAATATTTGTTCCAGAGATAACAGAAGTGGGAGCAACAATACACCTTATACTATACTATACTTCAGTTACGGCAAATACTGGCATATCCAGCAGGGAATTACACAAAGTAATGTAGTGGTGAAACTGAAGTCAACATACATTCACTGATGGGCATTTGGAAACAGTACTTGAACACTTAAAAGAAGGCACATATGGTAGGCAGGATGACCGTGACAGAACTAGTCACACTCTTGCTGGAAGCAACTACCAAAAACTGAAGCCTGAACTACCAAATGCTTCAAGAAAGTAGCCCCTCCACTTCTGTTGCTGGCGTAATGGCAAAGCCATGCAAGAAAACTGGCACAGCATCTTCCAAAGCAATGTATATGATAAGACTGAAGTCTTTATGGGTCGCGAATCTGGCACTTCCGCAACAATTACATTCACATAGAAATGAACAGGAAAACCTATGGATACAACTCACTTGTGTACACTGTTGGCCTCACACAGAATACTACTGCCTTCCACAACTACACAAGTGTCTGTGCTAATGATATCATTTGCAGGTGGAGGCATACATTTTTATTCACTGCTAAAAAGCCAGTGCTGATTAACCTATCTGGCCCTCTGGGCTGAACAAGTGGTATGGGGCTGGTTTGTGGGTCAGATCCTGGGTGGGGTCAATGGGCAGGGTTGCTCTGCGGGTGTGATCTGTTGCACCATCCCAGTCCTGCACTCCCAGATCTTCTTGCAGAGTGACCCCGTGCACAGGACACAATTTAGTGCAGGCCCATGTCACCTAACCCACAGGGCTCCTCCATGGGTCTGGAAATCTGCTGTTAGCACTGTCACTGCTTCTCTGCCATCCAGTTTCCACACCTAGGGGGAGACGCATAGGCTGGATGGCACCACTCTGCAGGCCGGAGATTGAGGACCGCTGTAATGCTGTTTGAAATCCCCACCAAATGTCTGCAGACTGGATTTCACTAGCTGGAGCAGAAAATAGGTCTAATCTTCCCAACCTCGTTTAAATGTGATCCAAGCTACTCTGAGGGCCTATGCATCTTTTAAGAGGGCCCTCTGTGACCTACCCCAAACACACAACAAAGCAGCTACAGGATGACTAGATCTCTGAAAGTCAGCAGTTACATTCACCTGCCCTCTCTGGAGCGCAGTTTAGTGGAACAGGAACAGCGATAATCCCAAAGAGATTCCTGAGTTTTGAAAAAGCATTTTACAACAGAAAAGCGTTGGGAATAAAAGATGCTCCAACAAGGCGAAGCCCACTTGAACCGTGTTAGAAGAAAAGGAAGACTGAGAGAAATAACAGCAACAAGAAGAAAACTCATGCAGTTCACACCGACCCAACCCCACGAAAAGGGCAATGTCTTAACAGAGAATGGGACCTGCTGTCTGGAAATACGAGAAGAATATCTCCCTGATCTCTTTGGTTTATTTTTTGTTGTTGTTTTGTTTTTTTAAATGGACCTGGCGTTTTAAAAAGAAAGCCAAAAATTAATCCCCGCTGGCAGTGCCCACCCACACTCCCTGGGGCCCAGCTGCTGCAGCTCCTCTCTGAGCACCAGGCCACCTCTTAGCAAACTACAGCTTTGCCACTGCCCAGCAGGCTGCCCCCAGCCCCCTTCTATTTAAAGCCTCCCAAACCACCAGCATTTCCCGCCACCCGCTTGCCAGATATATCTGCCCCACGCCTCCTATCTCAAGCCTGGGGGAGGGGGCACAAGGGGAGGGCATAGTTACCAGTGCTTGCCGTACACCCAGCTTCCTCCCCAGGCGCACAGGCAGACCCCCACCGTACTTTTCTTCCAGTGGGTCCTGAGGGTCTTAAACATCCCGACCACGCGGGCCATACTCGGGCCGGGCCGCGCCACTTCCGCAGGGTACAGCAGGAATCAGGAGACGGGCTGCTCCTAATCCCTGCGAGGAAGAGACCAAACAACGTGACGCACTCCCACACCAAGCACCCTCACTTCACCCTCCCCAGACACACCGACACCCCCTTCCCCACGCCACCACACACCCACCCACATCCCGCCTCACCCCACGGCTAGGCAGGGTCCC